ATTTGGTTCGCTGAATTTATGATATTGTTGAAATATATAGGCTGGAAAATCCGAAAAGACCGAAATCAAGCATTAGAGGGAATATTTGAAATGAACGCACAAACCTAAAGCTTTAAGTAATTGTAATATTATATTTTGTTCCAATTTGAATCACTATTAGATCAAATAAACTGGGAAAAGTTATTAAGTGCTCCAACAGTGTTTCCTCTTTTTTCCAGTGTTCAAAGGAAGATCACATGGTATTACCTACCATAGTTGTTTCAACTTTTTGACTTTAGCAGAGGAAGAATCCATACACATTATTACGATGAATGCAATTAAATAGGATATAGTTTTGAAGGGGCGATTTTTTAGGACTAGCACCTTGAATCAGTAATTGAATTTTTCATTTTAAAAAAATGAATGAATAAAGAGTTAGATATCAGTTATAATTACTGGCGTTTAATGTTTACAAAATGCTATTTTGTTTGATTTATGAAAATCGGACTTCGACGGATAATGTTAGATTTAAAATTGTTAAGAGAGAGAGAGAGAGAGAGAGAATTCATTAAATTTCAACGCTTCACAATAGATATAGACTTCCATTTTATATTTGAGTAGTTCGGAGATCTTTATTATTATTGAAAATAATATGTCTCACTGAATGTATCGTAAAATGTGTGTGTGTTTTTTTTTTTAAAAATCTTCTTTTACAGCATTAAATCAATTTATGTAAAACATCGGACATGGCAAGAAGAACAACTCTGATTTTTTCTTCATTCAATTTACATTCCTGTAATCTGATAATTTCTTATCAGTAACTGACCAGATGCTGCTAATTTTGCGCACGCCTTCATTCTTCCAGCGTGCATTGCCTCGTCAACATATATTCGCCAGTCATCTTGATTTGTTTTTACCCACCATCCCACCCAAAGCCTTTCTTGCCATGTCTGATGTGAGAAATTAATTGTGGGATCTAATATCGTTTTTGTTTTTGTGAGTAAGTAAAACATTAATAATTGCAATACAGTTTCGGATGTTTTTAAACTGTATGGGCGATTTTTTATGCCCAACCTATGAAACTTGGCTTAACAAAATGTATTTGTTAATTTTATGCACATGTTTTTTTATGATTGTGTAATGCTTGTCATTTTGTATAATTAGTATTTTGCATGATTTGTCTTGTCATTTATTAGATTAAAATAAATGACAGTTTTCAATTTAAACTATCTTCATTTTGTTTTTACAATAACTATTGTCAGTGTATTTACATAAAATCATTTTGTTTACCTTTACTGACAATATACTATATGTCAAACTTGAAATTCATTTACAGTAAATCTCAAACAGAATTTGTTAATTTTTTTCACGAAGATCTGTACCTGTTATGAAGGGTTTAATAGAAAGTTATTTTTGAATCTTGAACAATATTTGTTTGGCAAGTTGAACTCTCGTCGCTGAGCCCTTGCATTAATATATTAGCTTTATTCCAATGATCGCTGTTACCTATGTCGTTCAAAGGGAGATCATTTGAATACATCCAGAGTTATGCAAATTTCACAAAAATACAGCTAAGCATTTGAGGGATAAGTATAAATTCCAGATTTCTAGAGAGTGGAGGTGGGATTTTATATAAATGTAATAAGAAATCTTCTGCTTGTTTCACGCAAGAAAGGCACATATACTTACAGGTGTCTGCATATTCCATGAATAGTGCTGCAGATATGACCACCTGCACCAGTGTGCTTCATCAAATTACTCGTACTTATTTTAAGATTCACAAATTGACAAGATTTCGTTTTTATTAAAACCTCAGATATTTTAATCTTAAGATATTTTCTTTGCTTCAAACTGGCGTATTACCATAATCAATCAGAACTTTGACTGGGTTATTTGTCAAAAGGATCAATATAGTTTAAGAACAGTTATTCTTTACATTCTCTAATTGACATTTCATTTATGTAGGAATTAAGATATAGCAATTGCAAAGGTGTGAAAGAAAAATTGCTCATGCTCAAAGCAGTTAAAAACCAAATACACAAAAATTTCTTTGTTTTGACTTTGTAATACAAGATTGTGCAGATCTGAATAGAAGGTCATTGTTGCAGTCATTGTAAAGTTACTGTTTTGTGAGCTGAACTCTAGACATCACATGACTAGAAACTGTTCAAATCGTGAGAGCATTTACCAACTCCTTAGAGTTAAGTAGATAAATAATTTTTCAATGGTATTTGCATGAATATTAGATATATTGCATTGCACTGCCGTTACAAGATCGAAAAAGATCCCCGCCCCTAAACCCCACTTCCCCAGTTTTGTTTTAAATTAATCATTATTATTTATTTTCGAGGTATCATTTGAGGGAAATTCCTGAAAATTGGAGATCTTTATAACAAATAGGGTACAATTTCTCTTGTTAACATTATTCATGCATAAATGTTTTTTTTTTAGTGATTTGAATAATTATACATATATATGTATTAGACAAAAACAAAGCAGGTAAAAAGTCTTGAGATGCCACGACTCAACTGCTGTATTATACTTCAAAGAGAAATCATGTGAGATTTGTCATGTTTCTTCCGGATCAAATTATTTTAATGTATGCATATACATGTATATACTTTAATTTGGTTGACGCAAGGTTAACATTTTGATATTGAGGTCAGAGAGAGAGAGAGAGAGTTCAATACATCTTAACCATTCACAATAGACAAAAATTTCCATTTTATACTGAAACGCAACATCCTAATTTTAGGGGGAAAATTATATACAGGTTATAACTTTGTACTTAAAAGTTAGGACATCTTCAACTTTGCCAAATCAGTAATTTAACGATTGAATGATTTTCATTCCATTACCGGAAGATGATTTTGAGCCCTTTTAACAAAAATCAAAAATTGCATGTTTAATAAAAACAATTGACAATAATTTGGGTTTTTAAGGGTTTGTAGCTGTTAATCATAAGTATTGCACTAATATTCGAGAAAAAAAACCTTCTTTCTTTTCCCGATGTAATGCCAATATTTCTTCAAAATGACTTTAAGCACGCATTTTTATTGCTCTTGCTGAAGTTCGCAAAATAAAGGTAAAGGAGAGTTGCAGATGCAAATATGCACTACATACATGTAACGACTCATCAGGCTCATGCGTTTCAAAAGCATGAATAAGAGTTCCTTGACCGGAAGTCCAAGGGTTACTACACTACGCCAAGTTAGAGAAAATTCGACCTCAGTATCTGAAAAACAGGCACTCAAAAATGCCAAAGAATATTTATTTCGTTCAAATCAAGAGTGATAAACATAATGCATCGTAGAAATCGAGCTGCAATTGTTATACATGGCGGACTAGAACGCTGTAATTGAATGATCGGAAGGGGGGATGTTTTAAGAGTTATGTTTTACTTTTTAAGGTTTAAAGATAACATTCACCGTTTAAATCAATATCTGATGTTTGTAAATTTACTTTTTTCCTTACTGTATTCATTTTTAATGTTATCTTTAAACCTGTGCACCATTGTGCCTCATCAAATTACTCGTACTCATTTTAAGTTTCACTGACATATTGATAAGATTTCTTTTTACTAAAACTTCATATATTTTAATCTACTTAATTTTTAAAATTTAGTTACGAGGTAGCGGATTGAGGGAAATTCGTGAAAATTGGAGATCATCATACATTGTAACAAAAAGCGTGGAGATTATGTGAGATCTGTTATGTTTATTCTAGAACAAATTATTTTAATGTGTGCAAATAACAGTATAATACTTTAATTTGGTTGATACGAGGCTAAATTCTGATATTGAGGAGAGAGAGAGAGAGAGAATATTCAATACATCTCAACGATTCACAATAGATATAAAATTCCATTTATTTTGACTAGTTTGAAGATTTTTATTATTTATAAGAATAATATTTCTCACTGAATGTGTGGTAAAATGTAATTTTAAACATTCATTTTAGTTACCTTTACAATGTACTTTTTGCCAAATTCGAAATGCATTAACGGTCAATCTCAAACAGAATACATAATTTTTTTCACGAAGATCTGTACCAGTAACCTGTTATGAAGGGTTTAACAGAAGGTTATTTTTGCATCTTGAACAATATTTGTTTTGCAAAATGAACTCTCATCATCTCATCACTGAGCCCTTGCATTAATATTAGCTTCATTCCAATGATCGTTGTACCTACGCCGTTCAAAGGGAGATTATTTGAGTAAATCCAGAGTTACCTTATGCAAATTTCACAAAAATACAGCTAAGCATTTGAGGGATAAGTATAAATTCCAGATTTCTAGAGGGTGGATTGGAATGATATATATCTGCTCCTTGTTTCAGGTAAGAAAGGCACATACACTTACATGACTGTATCCGCACCTCCGTGCATAGTACTGCAGATGCAACCTGTGCACCAGTATGCATCATCAAATTACACGTACTCATTTTAAGTTTCACATATTGATAAGATTTATTTCTATTAAAACCTCAGATATTTTAATCTACTTAATTTTTAGAATTTATTTACAAGGTATCAGATTGAGGGAAATTCAAGAAAATTGGAGATCATCATAAATTGTAACAAAAAGCGTGGAAATTCATTTGTTAACATTATTCATGCGTAAATATTTTTTATCTGAATACTTAAGACACAAACTAAACCAATTAAAAAAAATTGAGATGCCACGACTCAACTGCTGCATTATACTTATAAATACGTCATTCAAAGGGAGATTATGTGAGATTTGTCATGTTTACTCTAGAACAAATTATTTTGATGTCTGCAAATACTCTAGCATATTCTAGCATATTGGGGGGGGGGGGGGGGGGTTGTGTTTGTAGATATTCAAAGTTTAAATTTCAATTTCCTCGAGTACATGTAATATTTCTTTAAAAAAATATAAAAATAATCATATACCTTGAGTTCAAGTAACGGAACAAAAAATCGTGATCAAAATTACCATCGAGGTTTCTGCCTTTACAATCTGGAAGGGTCGGAACATCCTAGATATTTAACTTTACAAGCTTTACCATAAGTGCATAAGGCTCTGAGGAATTGAGTGGAAAATAAGGTAAATATCAATACGTTTAAGTAAACCTACCTGGTACAAAATAACGTTTAATTTTACCAGGCTTAGTACATGTAAATGCAGAGACATAATGATTAAAGAGTAACTCGAAAGTGAAAGTTCACCGTGCCTAAAAGCTAAAACCGAAAACAAAGTTGTGATCTCCGATTTTCTGAACCATACATTGCTTCACTATGGACATGTATTTTTAAAATTTCATTTTTGTAAACTAATGGCAACTATCATAATAATATATTTTATTGCTGTATATCCTATAGGAAAAACTTAATTTGAAGAAAGTAGCCCAGGCAATTTGAGGTAACCGTTATATATTTTCATTGAAATCTTAGGGTTTAAGTTTAAATTGGTTTTAGCACTGGTGCGTAATTTGTCAATTTCACAAATGATGCTGAAAAATTCTTTCATCTTAGTTAACTTTTAAAAAGTCCTGAAAGTCACTGTTAGTATTAACCTCCGCCCGGCCTGCCCCAGTTTCCACATCATCTCTTAATAAAGAATTCAAAGGAAAAGCTGCAATTCGAACTAACTTACTAGTTTAAAACGCTTTTCTCTCTTTTCCAATATCTTTAGAAGATTGTCCCCTTCTGGATTCGTCCAACCTAAAATCATGAAATATACACATCTCATTACATTTTATTTTATATTTCAAACATACATTGCAACAACTGGAATATCAGCGCACTCTACCTAGCCAACATTTTTGGTGCGCGAACGAAAATATGTCTCAGACACTCTGAATAAACTACATGTACCTATATGCATATACATTTTTTTAAAACTGAGTCAGAGATAAATATAATTTTCAGTAAACAATCAGTGAGTTGACTGATTAAAAGTGCATGGGCAATGTTGACTTCGTTTTATAGAATATCAAGTTTCAACTTCATTCGCATGAATCCCATCATTTTGTTATAGGGATAAAAAAAAGTTACAGGAAGTTTGTGATTTTGATAGAAGTATTTTATTATCATTATAGCTGTATTTGCAGTTGTTGAAGTCAATTTTGAATAATTCAAACATTACGATAGTCAGATGTACATATTTTCTCCCAAATGTCTCGCTATTTTAGGAAAAAGTCCAAGATACGTATTGTACTTTATCTCATGAAGTCTGCTTTGGTGATTGGCGCCTCCCGTGGAATAGGTAAACAAGTTGCCATAATTTTATCTAGAAATGGTTATTCAGTGGGCGTTGCTGCAAAAACTGAAGTTTCCCAGGAAACACTTCCGGGTTCAATCCATGATGTAGTACGTGACATCACTAAGGAAGGAGGTGTGGCTATACCAATCAAATGCAATGCCAGAAAGAGTAATGACATACAAGATGCTGTGACCACATGTATAGAAAAGTGCGTATAAATGGACTGTATTTCAAATTTACAGTGTAATCATACATTGTATTGATATTTTATACAGCGAATGTGTAAGCCAATAACAAGATTTGTAAGTTTTTTGAAAAGTTTATTAAACAACCGTGATCGTATAGATTTTTAAATGCTAGTTTCTGAAATGTCATCAGAATAGACCAATATTCTAGTTGTAGCAAAAGTTTGAAAGATCCGTCCCAAACGTTTAAGAAGAGCGTAGAACTAAAACTCCAAAAGTAATAATTAAGGTGAGGTCCAAAAAATTAGAGTCCAAAAAGTATTCCAAAAGAGTCAAAGAAAAAAGAATAGAATAACAGAATAGAATAATGAATGCCGTTTTCCGGCAAAACAGGGTATTTTGTGCTCAGAGGGTATTCATGGTCCCGGATATAAAAGTAGTTTTCATTGGCTGACTTAACATTGCCATACCACCTACGCTTTGTCCGTAGGTCTGTCCGTTGACCTATGAATCCCAACATGGCACCACCCTCCAATCCAGGTATATCTTCATTAATAATATTTATGGACTCAGTCTCCATCTCTGCACCACAGGAGTTCTAGCCCTAGGCTCTTTTACTTATCTGCTTCAATGTTCCCAATTATATTACTCTCAATCAAGAATCTTAATAGTAACTTTACATTTCCGTTCAAATTTTATTACTTAGTATCGATGGGCTTGATTGGTCTATTCTGATCAATTCCATTACAAAATGATTTACAAAATTATAGTTCATTGTGCCAACAACAAAATCCAATTTGTTCTACCAAGATAATTATAGTTCATGAACATAAAGTCCCTTTTCCAATTATAAAGTCATTGTATGTGGTACACTAATAATGTACATCCTTGTTTAATAACCTTTTATTTTATTTTACTGTCACTACTAAGTTCACTATTAATAACTAAAATGATTAGGATATGAATATAGTCCAAGTTCAAAATGTTCAAATAAAATGTCCGTTCTAAACCCTATAGGTTTACAAATGTTTGTGACAGAGAGAAATTTATATGGAAGCAAGAGTACGAAAAAAAGAAGAAAAGAAAAAGAAACTAATATCATATAGATCAAGTAAAGAAAACTATTTTTGAATTTCATAATGAGTGAAATTTCATGTCTTTTTTTAACATTAATTTATTTCTTGGTTATAGGTTTGGAAAGCTTGATTTAGCAGTATACAACGCAGGGGCTATTTTATGGAAGCCTGTGATAGAAACCCCATTGTCAAGGTTTGACCTCCTACATGAGGTAAATGTCAGAGGGGCATATACCATGGTACAACAGGTGCTCCCACATTTTCTCGAAAGAAATACAGGAAGGATAATATTAGTATCACCTCCTGTTTACAAAAGGTAATAGGCTTATTGGGATTAGCACAGGTATACTCCTGAACATTGTTCTTTATGAATATTCAAAACATTTTAAAACTGGTGATATTCAATTTTTTTTATGGTCCGAATTCAAAAAATCATGGCAACCATCGTTTTACTTGTCTAACAATATTAACTAAAAATCGATTACGTTTAAACAATGCAAAATATATACCCTATATCTGGAACACAGACAATACACTTTTGACAATGAAGTGAAGTGCAAAATAAACCTTCCAGTCAAAAGACCAAGGTCATACTCATTATAAATTCCATCACAGCATTGTGCTTAACAAATATTTCTTGTTTAAAATCAATGAAATTCATTATTGCTAAATTGGGATTTCATATTATATTGATTTAATAAATGAATGGACAGTTTACATGTGTTTGTTTTGACAGATTCTTTAAAGGCAAGACACCATACAGCATTAGTAAGATAGGAATGACTGTCCTTACCCATGGGCTTGCTAATGAATTAAAAGACACAGGTATATTACTAATCTGTCATTTTATAAACATGAAATTTATTTAAATTTTCTTTTTTAATTTCAACTGCTGATGCAGTTCATAATGAAAGGTATTCTTATTGGAATCCCCCCTTATTTATCAATAATGAAAAACATGAAGATAATGAATTGTGATCAATCTCAAAAATCTACAAACAATACAAATCTGTGAACTGGGCATAAATTCCAGAGGTGGGATTAGGTGCCTAGGAGAAGTAAGCATCCTCTGATGTCTGGTTGCAAGGGCCGTAAGCCCTATGTATTGATCAGGTAGATGGGACATTCTGTAGTCAAATGAAGTGTTAAAACAAAGGCCTAACAATTGGAATGAAACACGTCAGCCAAAATACGACCCAATGATAGGTTATATTTGCTAACAAGGTAATTGTAATGACCATAGAATTTACGAAATGCTGACTTTAAACGAAGTTGTTCAAATCCCTGTAACATCAACTTTTCTGCCAACACAGTACATCATATGCAGATGATAGCGGAATATTATTACATAAAAAGGAAAGTTGACGATGGAAAAGCTGAAGTCATCTCATGCGTCATACAGTATAGTTGTTAGTTGGTTATTATCGCCTATAGTCAGTAACACATCCAAATATGAAAAAGATGTGGCATACTCTGTTGTGTCTATTTTCAGTTCACTGGGATATATCGAGTCGACACAGGGTTCAACATAAACTAAAATACCCACTTGTCCACTGGACAAGTTGCCAACAAACATTACTTGTCCGAATGCTATTTTTACTTGTCCGACAGATATAAAGAAAAAATGTAGAACTTTATAATCAAGACTGAAGTAACTATATAAATCACACTTATAAATAATTTTTAAATCATTGAAATAACAAGATGTGTTTGTGAAACACTGATGCCCCCATATGACAGCTTATGGCAAAGGTTAAAGTTTCTCAAATGCAAGTCAAAGTCTAAGGTCGACTCAAGAGATCAAAAATGTTGTTACCCAAAGAAAGGACTTGTGTCAGTGGATATACCTGGTAAATATGAAAGCCCAAGCACCAACTTTTCAAAAGTTATGGTCAAGGTTAATGTTTTCTAAAAGAAGGTCAAACTCCAAGGTCAAAATTAATGGTACGCAGGGGGGAAGACTTTGTCATAAGAAATACACCTACAAAATATAAAAGCCGTTCAAAGTTATGGCCAAGGTTAATGTTTTTCAAAGTAGGTCATACTCAAAGGTCAAAAGGTCTGAATTGTTGTATCCAAACGAGGGTCTTGACACAAGGAAAATACCTGAGAAATTTGAAAGCCCTTGCATCAACTGTTCAGAAGCTAAAGTTGGGTAATTTTGTGCAAAATTGGGTCAAACTCCAAGGTCAAGAGGTAAGATATGTTGGTATCCAAAGAAAGGTCTTGTCACGAGGAATACACATGTGAAATATGAAAGCCATAGCTCCAACCAATCAAAAGTAATGGACAAGGTTAAAGTTTTTGCGGATGAACAGACAGACGGACGGACAGATCAAAACCTATATACCCCTGAGTCTTCGATACGGGGGCATAAAAATATTTGCTGTGGCTTTCAACTCGACATTCAGATACATCGACATTTTGTCAATTAAAATTGTTACCTCCATTCATATGTCGTAGGGTTCAACATTAACGTTTGTCCGATTGTCCGTACCCACTTCATTTTGTGATCGGACAAGACAAACTCCACAAACACATGTCCAATCAAACAAGTACACTTTTTTTTCTTTTTATGAAATATTGTGAATAAATCCCCATAAAATCCATTAAATACTGCATTTATCTAACAGTCTAATATGTATTATTACAAACACTCTTTAAATAATATGGCTAATAAAGGAGCACAATAAGTGTCCATCGAAATCTAACAGTTTGTTGGAACTCCGGCATCCTTTAAATATCAACTTCAGAGTACTTGTATGTAGAATCAGAGGGATTTTTAACAAAGTAATTATGTTGATGAACAATTACAAGATACGAAAATTTCCGAGTTCCTTTTTTTTTTTTTTTTTTTTTTGAAGAAACAGTTGTCATGAACATATACAGATACATGTGTATCAAAGGATTCCAATGATAAATTCAATTTCTCTAAAACCAGCTGACTTCTTTGAACGGCGCCATATAAACTCGGCGTAAAAAATGCAGCGTTTATACAGATCAGATCAATGCAGTCTGATTAACTTAGAATGGCAATAAATATCCCTTTTTTAAGAATCGAAAATTTGTTTTGATTATAATTGATATAAGAATAACTGATGAGTACATTAGACTTGTCATTGATGTCTGTATTTTCTCAACAGGGGTTTCCATTTCCTCCTTATGGCCAGCCACCGCCATTAAAGCATTCGTCACGGACAAACTCCAAACTCCATCATCTGTCATGAGAACTCCCGATGTGTTTGCTGATGCCGTTTTAAAAATCGCTGAAGAAAATTCAGAAAAGTTTGTTTAATTTCTAAACATTATAAAAGGAGCATCTCCTTGCATTGACTGTTCTTTGAAAATGCAATGTACATGTAAATTATAATGATAGATGTTCATAAATACTAAATTTACTTACTTTTTTCATATACGTCATGCATAAAGTAAATATGCATGGCATTTTATTGGCAGTCTAAGGAAACAGGTACAAAAATATTTTTTATTAAAAGAAAAAAAAACGGAAGAATATCAAAAGACAAAAATCCCAAAAGTACGCATTGCAATATAGTCTCTTGTGACATGACCCGGCGAGTTTTCCTTTGAAGTCAGCCGTACAATAACTGCGATACAGAACACTTTTAGTGGGCGTTTCTTATGCAAATGAACAGAAACTGTACTGTATCTGCAAAATATCAACGATACAGTACGGTTTATTTTTAGCGATGACGGAAAACTGAATCCGTATCTTAAATGATATACACACAAGAATCAATCAAATCGCATGATAGCACTGTTAGTATTTATTCAAAATTTGAGATGAATTAAGAATAGAATTTTACAACGTAAAGTTACCAGTGGCGGATTCAAAAATTTTAGAAAGGAGGGCGTGGGTGCAGTACACAAATGGTTTTCTTCGAAAAAAAAAATGTTCAAACTGGAAAATTGGGGGTTTTGTGGGGAGTAGATTCATAATCAGGCCTGACACTATATGTGCGTGATCGTTTCGTGTTGATAAATTTATAATTAAAGTGTATATAAGTTTAGCAAACATAATTTACGAAAGCCAAAAAGAAAAAAAAAAACTCGAAACGGGGGGGGGGGGGGGAGGGGGGGTACCAACGCGCGCGAGTGAGTGCTGGATGTGCCTTTGGGTCCTCTACATTTTATTTCAAACATGAAGGTAATATGCCCCCTTTCTTACATCTGTTTATTTCAATTTGGAGCCAAGAATTTTGTATACACATGTATGACGACCGGTCGATGACATTGTTGGACATTTCTCTCAGAATACAACCTCCCCGAAAAAGTTTTGCTTCAAATACATTCCCATATATGATTTTTATGTATCAAAATGTTTTGCACTAAATTCGTAGCTTAGATTTATGAAAAAAAAGTCAGCAAGAGCTAAATAGAAAGGGAAAAAAACCATACGCAATCAAATATAAATTTAAATTTTGGGAAAACACATTATATAATGCATCTCATAATTATAATTATTTAAATTGATAGATACATGCACGTCCACCTCACTCGGCATTTCAGTTGCGATTGCTAAAAATGGGGTACTAAATCAACTTTCTGCAAAATCATCTGATTGGTTGAGAGATATATACCCAAAATACACATGTAAATTAGCGAGGTCATAAGAAAGGTCATGTCACAAGTCATTTAGAATACTCGTTTCCTACTGTATCGGAGATACAGGGCGGGGCCCGGCTCGAGCTATCGCTCTCGCCTTAAGCCCCGCCCTTTATCTCCGATACAGTAGGAAACTCGTACTCTAAATATAACATAAATTGTGATGGTACATTTGAATGAATCTTTATAATCCCTCGTTGAAATTCATTTTTTTCTCATTTGATAAAGCTAACTATGAAGCCATTTTGTTCACGAAGACTAGCCCTGCCGAGGGCTTATGTTAATGGTATTCTTATATATATATATATATTTTTAGACTGAATGGACTTGCTCTGATTGATGAAGATTTCTTGCGAACCACAGGTGTGTCTGATTTTTCAAAGTACCGCTGTGATCCAGACGTGGAACCTCCAAGAATGATGCCACGGAAATTCCCAGATCTAAGTGTGGAAGAGGAAAACGATAAAGTGTTTCCAAAGCTTTAATACATGCAATAAATAAAGAAAAACAATGATTTTTAGTGATTTATGAAAACATTTGAATTAAATTCCTGGTAGATTAGCAGTATATGCAGCTGCATAAGGCTCAAGGAGTGTTTCAGAGGTTTTCTTGGTATAATCAATTTTTCTAATACAAAGATGATATTCATTGTTATATCAAAGACATCCATGTATGATATGTACCAGAAAATTGAGGGTACATGTAGATTTGAATCTTCACAATCACATTTGATAATAATATTTCAGTTAACTTGAGATTGAAAACTGCAGTTGGCCCTGTATGGAAATGAATTTTCGCCACTTGTATAAAGTTATTAAACACTTTCATGACTGAAGGTAAATAGTATATGGAATTATTTAACCTTTGCTCTATGATATTTAAACTATCGTGTCCTTCATTATCCCTAAGGATTATGAGACATTTAGTATCGTCATCAACAGAAAAGCAAAATCATATACATATGAATCAGTTACGTCTTAGTTTATTTAATTTATACAGTGCCCGTGAGACTATTAACTCGAGTTATCGAGGAAAAGATTGTCGCAGATGACAATCTGTCTAAATGTTTTTAAAAATTCAGATTTCTTTTCATAAAGTGTTTGACGGTCATCCCTCGGATAAATGTAAAAATATTATGCACAACAATAAATTTAAAGGTTTGACCGAAACAAAAGTTTAACTAATGAATTAATACAATATTTTATACAATATGTAAGTGGACAGTGTTGGAAACAAAACTCGAGATTAATCTGAAAGAGTGGAAATTGTGTGGAACATGTCGCATCATTGATTCCGGCATGACATTTTCAAGATATTTAAAAGAAAGAAGGGGGTTGGTACAAAAAGTGACATTCTTCAGAAACTTGTTTAAGCCCTTTAAATTGCAGGGATTCTTGATTTTAAAACTGACATCTTTTTCATTTCAGTACGAGTTTCATGTAAGCTAAGAATAATCTTTTTATGTGAAGAATATTATGGAAATTTGATGCCGTAATCATTCGACATAATTTGCAGAGACATTAAAGACTGTGGTCTCACAATTTGTTATCAATATCGTTTATTTTATTTTTTTTTAAAACGTTGACGATATGGTATTGTACATTTTGACTGTAAAACTGTGTTTCGGTCAAATCTTACAATTTCATACATACATTGTATCAGAACATACATTTTTCCAGGGATAACCTTCACTAGTTTTAATTCCTTAAAAAATTATAACATTTTAGACTAATTTAGTCATCCACGACATTCGCTCTTAAACCGGAAGTTTTACGATACCTGCTATAAGGAACAGATAACTCGTGCTAAGAACGATAACTCGAGTTTACGGGAGGACAGAATAATTCTCTGTAACCACTTAAACTTCTTTGCCACGCATGGTCACCGATTTTGGTGAAACTTTGCTCATATATCATATACAATTTGGTTGCTATGTGTATTGGTTGCCATGGTAACAGCCAGAAAAGTTCGAAAATTTGAGATTTTCGGCTACTTTGATTCTTTATTAAGGCTTAATAAAGACTTAGAAAAACAAACAAACCATTCCCACAAAAACATGACACCTTGTTGCCACTTATGCTATAAAGAAAGTATTTAGAATTTATCTCTAAGTAAGTGGTAACCATGGGTACATTTGGAATACATTTTAAATGCTGAAAATTGCTGAAAAACGCTGAAAACGCTCAATATTCACTAATGATAGGTGTTACATGATCAAACTCAATCAACAACCTAAGAAAAACAATAAAAATATTTGACCTTAAATAATTAGGTATTGGCAATATTATTCTAAAAATAACTTTCATGGTTGCCATGGTAACACAGTGTAACCATGCAAAATCTGTTGCTAAGATTGGGTAAATGCTACTATCTTGAGGAAAAACAATAAAATTCATGACTGGCACATATACATCCTTAGGACCTTGCAACACCCTCAACATAAGAATAATTGTGATTCATTGTTACTTTGCAATGTAACCATGGAAACAACGTACAAGTTGTTTAAAGTGATATTTTTTTCCTGCCTTAGGAATGTACTACCTTTTAATCAAGAAAAATATTATTTGACTCACCTTGAATAGTATTTATCTGGTAGAACTAAAGTTGAATATCATATATTGATAAAGTTTGTTGAAAAATACAACACTGCTGCTATGGTTACCAAGAAGTGAAAATGGTCGATTTTGTTAATTTTATATCAATATTAAACCCTATGTGCCAGCTTTTTGCATCCAGTTAGAAATTGGGTGATAGTCAAAATTGAAAGTCAGGTTAGTTGTTCATATATATCAATCATAAAAGTTTTCGGAATCTACATTCAAGGGTACGTTTCCAAGGAAACCGAATATTTTTCAGATTTTTATGCGTATTTTTTCTGCTAATTTCCATAGCAACGCTCTATTTAAAGAATTGAATTTGAATTTATTGAAATGTGAAAATTAGGTCACACCAACGCCTTTAAAAATTGATCATCAGTTATGTAGAAATTTGCTCTTTAAAAAGATAGGACAAGATAAAAAAAACACTAAGAGAGTAAATTTAAAATCCCTTTGTGGTATTAAAGCCATGGCAACCATTGCCAACCTATAAGAAATATCATATTTCGTCCTTGGTATATGTACAAGGATCTCTTGTCTATTATATGCTTGCATTTCAACCTATGATTGTTTTTATTCTTAAGTGTATGACTTTACAAAATTAAATGAACAAAATTATTACTTTTGAATACTTTGTTTCCATAGTAACGTATGTAATACTTGATTTACCAAACATGTTTATCATGCATTTAAGACATCAGGCCTTCAACTTTCAGAAACAGTCATTGCCACTTGTCTGCTTTGCTGCAAACGTTAACTGTGGGACTCTAAACATGTTGAAAAATGCCATTTTTCAAACTTTAGGACATGTTGCTATGGTAACCATGGCACGTAGCAACCAATTTTTGCCTGATTTGAGTTTACGTTATCAAAGACTTTTATCATAGAGAGTTTGGAGAAATTCTGAGACTATGCGTGCCACAGCTCCTATATGAAAGTTAAAGTCATCACAGAGAATGGCTCTTAAACCTTTAGACATTCAGCTGAAATTATTTGACAGTATGATTACACCCATATTACTTTATGGCTGTGAAGTATGGGGAATTGACAATAACAATGTCATAGAAAATTTATTTTTACAATTTTACAAAATAATTTTAAATCTGAAAAAATCTACCCCTAATCATGTTTTATATGGCGAACTGGGTAAATATCCAGTAGAAATATTTATTAAGTCCAGAGTTATTGGGTTTTGGCATAGACTTGTTTGTGGTAAACAAGACAAAATATCTTTTTCTCTTATATAAATTGTTATTAAAGCTTAGACAACATGACTTAATGCAGTCTTAGTGGATTAACTATGTTGAAAAAACACTAAATGACTATGGAATGTCCGAGTTATGGTTACAACAGTATTCTCCAAAGAAAACGGGTGGTGTCAAAATTGGTAAAAACTAGATTAATTGATCAATTTAAGCAGAATTGGTATGCCAGTATTTTTGATATGCCAATAACCCTTAATTATAGGTTATTAAATTAGAACATTGTTTTGAAAAATATTTGATTTATCTTCCAAAAGATTTGAGAATAGCTTTATGTAAATTTAGATGTATGAATCACAGATTTCCAATTGAGAAGGGTCGCTTTTGGGGTGTTGACAGAGATAATCGAATTTGTGATCTTTGTTCCTCTAACAATTTAGGAGATGAATTCCACTATCTTTTAGAATGTGCTTTTTTCAAAAGAGAACGATAAAAACTTGTTTCAAATATTTTTATGCTAACCCAAATGTTATTTAATTTCATGACCTGTTAAACTGTAAGAACGCTACAGTCATTTTTGGACTTGCCAAATTTTGCAAAATTTTATTTTCAGTAATAAATTAAGAATAACAAAACAACTGTTTAAAATATGTTGTAATGATTTATTTAATACTAGCAGAGGCCTTCTATACTTTGATGTTTTGAACTATACATGTATATAGTAATTAACATTAGTGCCACTCATTTCATGCTTGTATGTTATTTTGTTGTATCATTTGCATTCATATACCCCAGTTGGGGTCTTTGTCTTAAATAAAAACTTGAAACTTGAAACAATTGTTACATTAAAAGTCTAGAATTTATCAACTATCAAGTTAAACTAATCTATAAAGTCTTCAAAAACACTCCATTCGCGAAATCACGTACTCGCGATTTGACCTTAATTAGTCATTTTGCGATATTAAGTACTCGCGTATAATAAGGAATCTACTCTGGTTATCGGTCATAAGTTTTTATAGATTGTTAAAATATGTTAATTTTTCTGCTATATGAATATTTTAACTAAATTGTCGATTCCTAGTTAATGTGTTTCAAATTGAATCAATAAATGAAATTTAAAAGGTCATTCTTTTGATACTAAACTGGTTTTAATAATCTCCGTATTTACCTAGCAGTCTAGCTATTTTTATTTTCGTGGTTTTTGAAGAAAAGAAAATCTTCCGCACAGATTTTAAAAGCTGTTCGAAGATAATCGACTTGGACAAGTTTTATACTATTGATGTTATCATTTTTATATCTCTTTAAAACTGCTGCACGAAGAAAATACACGTCAATGTAAATCCAGCGGGTTGATAAAACAAGTTATGGAAAAACGATCAATTTTAATGGCTTACTGTTTGTCAATAGGTAAGTTAATATTATAATAAAAATAAAAACTTATAAAAATGAGATGTTATTTTTCCAGAAACTTAAAGAACATTGAGTAACTTGTTGCATACAAAGGATAAATACTGCAAAAATAAGATTGAATCTAATTCACTGCAAAATACACGAATATACTTTTAATTCAAGCGGCAAACATTAAAAAAAATTTCTTCCTGTCAATCAGAAACTAAATATCTCAGGAGAAGGCAAAAAGGCAAAATCATTTCATTGGAAAAAGAACATTAAGAATTGAAAACAATCTTACTCCTTTTTGGAAATTCGAAAAA